AGTGTCCCAACTTTTTTGGAATCGGGTTTGTATATATGTATGCTTATCTATAGGACATCCATTCAATTTAATGAGTGGACAAACATTTTATGGGCCTGAGCCACTCTACAGATGTTTATATATTAAGACCACTTTAATTGTTGCTTGCTATCAGGATGTGAAGAGACTTAACTAGTATAACAAATGTTTCTAGAAAAAAAATTGCCTATCCTACCTTTTAAAGGGATAGTCCGCCCAAAATGACAATTCCGTGATCATTTACTCACCCTCAAGTTGTTGCAAAACTGTATGACTTTCTTTTATCTGTGGTGGAACATATTTTGTGATTTTAATACAATGTAAACCAATGGAGCCAAAACCTTCAAAATGCTGTGTTCCGTTTCAATCACACAGGTTTAGAAAGGCATGAGGGTGAGTAAATGTTGGCAGAACTTAAATTTTTGAGCGAACTATCCCTTTAACATTGTGTTTCTTGTCCAGCCTCCCACTTTCCTCCAAAATTAAAAGACTGAATGGTTCAAAAATGCAAAACGTTCAAACAGCAATGGTATCAGAATGCCCTCTAGTGTTCAGGCATGGAGTTCACTAGTGATTTCTCAATAGTAGTAACCTAAATAAAAGGCCTTCAACATAAAAATGTTCATGTGGTTCATCTGTGTTGGCAACAATGCTATTTCTTCTTTCTTAAAAAAAATAAATAAATTACAAGTAACCAAGACAGCATAGTGAACTAGGTTATTTAACAAAACAAACACAGACAAAATAGCCTTTAAATAATTGGTTTATGTTTTTTTCTTTTGGCTTGTTTGTATTATTTTTTTTTATTGTTTTTTCTTTTGAGAAATAAAGTGATATATAACCGTCTCACTTTATGACTTAAGAATAAATAGTCTAGAAACTAAAAATGCTGAATAAATGCTGAACACATTTACAAGTTTACAAGGATTGATTCAGTTCATATGTTTTCAAATTGATGAATATTTTGGTGGGGCACCACCCCACCTATCCATAAAGAACAGCCACAGCTGCTACTGAAATAACTGGATTTTGCCAGATAATATTTGATAAACCATGGTAAATGTGACCACAACTTTAGCAACAAAAGATAAAGACATTTTATGGTCCCACAGGTTTGAAATGACATGAGGGTGAATACATTTTCACTTGCGCATAAACTATCTTTAACAAAAATAATGAAACTGATAATAAAAAAATAATTTTATAAAAATATTGAATATCTAATACATAATTGTTTAAAACTCATTCACAAATGAATAACAATAAAAAAATGTTTGAACATAAAGAGTCCATTCAGTTACAGTTTATGCTCTGACATAAACACTTTCCAATTAACTTTTTCCAGTTGTTTCATCTGAAATCCCTCGACAGACATGAACAGAGAGAGCTCTGGTAAGGTTCTCGATCTGTGAGCGGAGGAACCTGCGATCCTCCTGCAGGTCCTGCACCTGTCTCTCCAGAGCTTCAATCCTCTCCTGTTTGCTCTCCAGCAGACACTGAAGTTTAGTGATGGTCAGCATAACACCGCTGGGCAAATCTTCCATGATCGGAGGTCTCACTGCTGAGAAAGAGAGAAAAAAACATGACGATTTGTCTCTGTAAATGTATTTGTTCCTGAAGAAGAGAAGACTTCTCTAACTGACAACCCAATTGCCTGGCTGGGATTCGAACAAACGTCCCTCTGTTTAATGACAAAAGTGTACCACTCACACCACTGCAGCCATTACCTAAATGTCTTCTCTATCTACGTCTCATCATTGTGATTTGGAGCTAATTAACATTGATTCTCAGTAAATAACAAATCCCGTACTGGAGGTGGAAGTGGCGCTGCTCGGAGTGTTGTCCTGCTCTGTCTCAGTGGCAGCTGGCAGTGTGTTTACATTGTCCCACTGGATTACTACAGTCTCTGGTTCCTGTTTCATCCAGCTATAGCTGTTCACAGGACTCTCCAGTGTGGCAGAGCTGGAGTCAACTTCACTGCTGGGAGAGTATGGAGCAAAATCCTGCTGCCATTGGGAGTTCATCTCAACCTGAGAGCTGCAGGAGGACAATATCACATGACAATCAAGGCATAATTCCACTTTTATATATTACTTTACTAATAATAACTACATGAGCTCAAAGCTGGCTTCATTAAGTATATAACAGGCTTTCAAAATGTCCAAAACATGTTAATAATAGGACGATGAAAATGCTATAAAACAATGGTTATCAGGTTTGCAAACAATTAAACAGGCTAAATGCACATACGAGCATTGCAGTGGTAAATCCCGAATCTTGCTCCTGCGACTTCTCTGGTACCGTCTCCATTTCTGCCTCAGTTCCTCCTGTCTTGACTTAGTGAGTTCAGCTACTGGAGGATGTTTAGTCTTTCCCTCTCTTTTTCTTCGCTGATAACTAATAATTTGAAACAAAAAGAAAGTGTTTAGGCAAACACTAAAATGTAATATTTATATAAAAGCATTACTGTTTTTAATAATAGTATAACTTTAAATATAACTGCAGTTTTGCTATTAGAATTTATAATAATATGTGGAGCAAAAATCAAACACCTCTCTCTTCTTTTTGCAAGGTATCTGGCCCTGGCAACAGGATCAGCATTCACCTTTGCTCTATGTCGAGCCGATTTCTCATTGTTTGATAGTGGCATCTATTAATGAGAAAGAAAAAAAAAGCTTGTTACAACACAATAATTATGTATATATGTGGAAAGAATCCGTTACAAAGGGGATATGCATTTAAACTAGACTGTGTTGTATCTTAATGCTAGTCTAAATTTAATCTTAGGCCTACAGTTTAACAATTGTAATACAATTTTACTATATAAAAATGTATTTTGTAGTCCAGTTTTAATAGATGCCTGTGTTAAAGTGAGTGATCAAACCAGTATTGATAAGTAGACTTTAGTTGTATTAAATACAGCTGACTCCACTTAACTGTAGAACTGCTCTTGCAATTCATTTACATTTTATATTATAGTAAAATTCCACTTCTAGTCTAAACTGATCTAGAAGAACTAGTGTAACTGTGCACACAATATTTGATTTAACTATGGATTAAAGTGTATATGTCATATATTACAGCGCATACGACTGTATTAACATCTAAAAACATGGCTCTATAAATTCAATTGACATTTTCAGCATCAGGAAATCACCTTAGTGCGTGTGTCAAATGGAGTGATTGGTTACACCACTTGACATTTCAGTTACTACATTTGTCTAAAAAAGTACCATAATTCATGAACCTTCAAAGCTTCCCAGCAGACGATATGTGATCATCAACAAACTTTACTACGTCATAAAATGATGAAATAATATACTATTTGGAAAGACATACTAACCTTGACACACAGCCATGAGGATTTGAAGGGTTCGTCTCTGAGACACCATTTCCTGTTTCACGGTCACATGACAGCAGCACATGTCGGTTACACCAGAGATGGGGGAGGGGCTCTGGTTACACCACACAGAACAGCTTCACTACTTGTTTCAAAGAAATTATAATAAATATTATGCCAAACTGCTTTTGCATATACTTTCTTCTCTTATACTTTTTTAAATATAATTTAAGTACGGTTACACCAACTAGACCTTTTCTTTTTTTTTTGTCGGTTCTACTGAAGTAATTAGTTAAACTGGTTCTCAACGGGACTGAACACTTCCTTCACGAATAGGACTGAGTCATACACTCTAAAAAATGCTGGGTTAAATACAACCCAGCGCTGGGTAAAATAGGGACAAACCCAGCAATTGGGTTGTTTTGACCCAGCGGTTGGGTTACTACCCAGAACAAACCCAGCAATTGGGATGTTTTGACCCAGCGGTTGGGTTACTACCCAGAAGGTTGGGTTAAACATTTAACCCAACCGCTGGGTCAAAACAGCCCAATTGCTGGGTTTGTCCCTATTTTACCCAGCACTGGGTTGTATTTAACCCAGCGTTTTTTAGAGTGTATGGTCCTCGAGTCAACCGCTCAACCGAGAACCGTCCCAGGAATCCGTTTCCCAAAAGTATCAACTATGGTTGCAAGTTCTGTTTTTAACTCCGTTGGTTACGACCGAACTTGCAACAGCTGCTTTTGGGAAACGCATCCCAGGTCATGACTGTAATAATCAAATGGCCCGAAAAGTGAGCTCATTACAGTATGCGTGAACTGAGGACTTGACCTGGTCAACCTTACTGCCTGATTAGGTTCAAAGTAAGTAACTTTTAATAATAACTGAAAAGTACTGCCTGTGCTTTTCAAGTGATTCTGAAGATCTGCTTCAGGTGTGTTTGACTGGGGTTGTTAAACTTTGCAGGACAGTGGGTCCCAGGAGCAGGGTTGAAGACCTCGGTTATAGAGAGCATGTTCATTAAGTTGAAAATAATAAATAAAAATAATAGCTAAAATCTCTTGCAGGACCTTTATTTGTTAAATAGCTTGGCACTTGGCAGACAGGCATTTTTAAACATTTAAAAACGAATGAAACCAATAAAGAATGAAAACAAACGTTTCAAACATAAAAACCACAAGCAGTGTTCTTGAACTCTGACTCTTGAGGGCCACTGTCCAGTAGAGTTCAGCTACAACCCTGATCCAATTCACCAGCCTGTCATTTTCTAGCAATCCCTAAAGACCTCTGGATTGGCTTTTTCAGGGGTATTTGAAACAGGTTGAAGCTAAACTCTATAGGACAGTGAATCTCAACTTTTTGGCATACCGGACCCCAGTCCAATTCAGAACCATCCTCAAGGACCCCCAGAACAAAATTGACTCATCTATGTATCATTTGTGTCTTTGTGAGTTCCAAATACAGTCAAGTATAATTCAGGTTGGCTGACTTGTCCAGTATTTGGTCATATCATCAGCTATATTGGATTTTTCTTTCATGGGAACATGTCATGTCAAAATATACAAAATGTATACAAAAAAAATCATACTTTATATGGACCCCCCTGGTCTTACGTCAAGGACCACTAGGGGTCCACGGACCCCTGGTTGAGAAACACTGCTATAGGACAGTGGAACTTGAGGATACCAGATATGAAGAACCCTGACATAAAGGAACACGGTGACATTGTGTGAGAACATAACCTTGGTAGAGATTTCTGTAAACAAACACATACAAAAATCATCTCAAACATACAAGCCCAATCTGTGCTTCATGAGTGGACTGGATGGTCTGTTCCAGCTACTGCACACAATATGTGTAACTTAAAATTGAAAAAGAAAAAAGTGATCTTGTGCATTTATTACACAAACCACTTAAAACTCCAGAGAGACGTACACACAGTACACGGTAATAAAACTACTGTATTTCCTTCCAGCACCATTTTCACTCAACAATGGTATTAGAGCGACCTCTATAGTTCAATCATGGAGAATGCTCTTGTTTTTATTGCAGTGCTAGGCCAGCTTCTCCAGAAGCTCTCATCCGCTCCATCCTTTATACAAGGGCTTCATCAGCAAACAAAGAAAGAAAAAGAGGTGTTCAGTAGTGATATCAACTGGTAGGTCAACCCGGAAGACTGTGTCAGGGTTTTACTGATGGTTTTCAGAGTAGCAGTTTCATTCATTTCATTTTCAGAATCACTGTTTACACAAGTATAAGAATGTAAATTTACATTTGACAAATCGTAAGTAGCAACTTGCCTTTTTAAAGCAACAAGATAACCACACTCATATGTACTCATAAATCAAAAGCCCACCTGAGCAAGGTTCAGATATGTTAATTAATGTTTTCTGGGTTGTTCAATTACAAACTGAACTGCTCTGCTGTGGAGAGAGGACACACTGCTGGGCGTAGCGGACTTATTTTTCCTTCGCACGGCCTGATCAGACCCACCAGACGAACAGATTTGTTAGCAACCTGGTGCAGTTCCGCGATGAGGAGGGCCATGTTGGGGATGTTGTCAGGGAGGGTTCAACCAGGAGCGCTGTTCCAGGCCATTATAGAGGGCCCAGATTAGGTCCTTTATGGTATAGGCTACTCTACTCCTGGGCATATGGACGCTCGCTCGTAAAAAACTGTCCCGGGCCCTGTGAACTTTAATGACACACTTGGGCAGAAAGTACTATTCATGCTCTTCTTCTTGATAAAGGCTGATCAAGACCTAGTCACAATGAGGAACACACCCTGTTGGGAAGAGATTGAAATGCAACTCAAAAATCCATTTCAAATTTGGCCATTTTGATTTAAGCTTGGCTATTGTTTTGGTTTTAGGACAACTTTGATGAAAGGTTTTGATCCACTTCAAATGTTGACTAGTGTATATATATATATACAGTATATATATATATATATATATATATATACACACACACACACACACACACACACACACACACACACACACATACTGTTAACTATTACACGTTTACTGTTAAAACACTATCTTCTGCAAATTACATAATTGTAATTAACGTGCATTTTTAGTGCACTTCAAATTGCAAAAGTATAATTAGTATTCTTAAACTGTACTTGCACATAATATTAATGACATTTTAAACGTGCAAGTTTTACTTTAATTTAAAATACATTTTTAAAGTACACTTGATGTGTTAAATAAAATTCTAAAGTATATTTAAATCACTTATAATTTGAACTGTAGTGTGTTATTCAATGACTCATTTAAAGTTAATATATATTAGATGCCCTAGATTGCAACTCCATCATTATAAATGTGTTATTACAAATATGTTAACATACATGACATACATTTTTCAATAGAAATTACATTATAGTATGTTTTAGTTTACCATAATGCATATTTCAAGACAACAGTAACTATGAAATTACATATAAAGTTGTACTTAAAGAGTTAGTTCACCCACAAATGAAAATTCTGTCATTAATTATTCGCCCTCATGTCGTTACAAACCCCCGTAAGACCTTCGTTCATCTTCGGAACACAAATTCAGTTATCTTTGATGAAATCCAGAGCTTTCTGACCCTCTATAGACAGCAAGAGAACTTTCTGTGCCTTGACCGTGGTAGTTCTCTTGCTGTCTATGAAGGGACAGAACTGTCTCAGATTTCATCAAAAATATCTTAATTTGTGTTCCGAGGATAAACTTACGGGTTTAGAACAACATGAGGGTAAGTAATTAATGATAGAATTTTCATTTTTGGGTGAACTATCCCTTTAAGTGGGTCAAAAAAAAAAACTATAAAGTTCAAATAATTGCATTTCATATAAACTTAACATATAACACATTTTCATTTAATTTCAATTAACATTGCAAGTGTCCAAAAACATAACATTCAGTTTACACTTCATTATACTCTTTTAAAGGATATTATGTTTTACAGGTATTCTTTTTAAATGTATGCTAAAGTGTATTACTTTTTACAAGGAATTGTGTACAGGTAAGGCACATTTATGAACAATCCAGATACAAAACTGCTAATGTTAAAGTGTTACTTGTCATGTACCTCTCTTTCCTTTCTTCTTATGGCGTCTTTTTTTTCTGACGCTGCTGGACTCTTCAGATGAAGATTCATCAGTGATGCTCTCATCTTCGATATATGAGCTGGACGAGCTCTTACGCCGCCTTTTCCTTGACCTGGACTGAGAGAACACTGATGTGCTCGCTGCAGCAACAGAGAATAATAGGAACCAAGAGCACGTGAGCAAGTACCATTGTAACAGGAAATAGAGCAGGGATCCTCAAATCTGGCCCACAAGATCCACTTTCCTGCAGAGTTTAGCTCTAACCCTAATCAAACACACCTGAGCATGCTAATCAATGTCTTCAGGATCATTAGAAAATCACAGGTAGGTGGGTTTGATCAGGGTTGGAGCTAAACTCTGCAGCGCATTGGCCCTCCAGGGCAAGATATGAGGAACCCTGAAATAGAGCATCAACTACAAAATTCATTAGCTCATCATTTCACCTCATAATACATTAAAACATGAAAAAATTTAAAATCTATTAAAATCTCAACTATATTTAAAAAAAAAAAAGCGAAAGTGGCCTTTTATTGTGGCCAGCCTAAGGCACACCTGTGCGATAATCATGCTGTCTAATCAGCATCTTGATATGCCACACCTGTGAGGTGGATGGATTATCTCGGCAAAGGAGAAGTGCTCACTAACACAGATTTAGACAGATTTGTGAACAATATTTGAGCGAAATAGGCCTTTTGTGTACATAGAAAAAGTCTTAGACCTTTGAGTTCAGCTCATGGAAAAATGGGGGCAAAAACAAAAGTGTTGCGTTTATAATTTTGTTCAGTGTAATACAGATCGCATTCAACAATACAGGTGTTTTGGATGTTTTTCCACCACACCTTCAGGCACTGAAACCAAGCGAGCGCCAGTGAGGTTCTCGATTTGTGAGCGAAGGAACCTGCGATCCTCCTGCAGGTCCTGCACCTGTCTCTCCAGAGCTTCAATCCTCTCCTGTTTGCTCTCCAGCAGACACTGAAGTTTGGTGATGGTCAGCATAACACTGCTGGGTAAACCCTCCATCGAAGGTATCGATGCTAAGAAAAATTAATTTATATCTCATCAGTGAATGTGCTCACGGATTCTCAGGAAATGAAAAAAAATACCGTAATAGTGACAGTACTGTTCAGATTTTTGTCCTTCTCAGCATCAGTGGCAGCATCAGAGTTCTTATTTTCCCACTGGATGGCTTCTGGCTCTGGTTCTTGTTTCACCCAACTGTGGCTGCTCACGGGACTCTCCTGTCTGGCAGAGCTGGAGTCCAGTTCACTGCTGGGGGAGTATGGAGTGGACTCCGGCTGCTGCCACTGAGTGTTAATCTCAACTGGAACACTGCAAGAGAACACTAGCATAATTGCACTTTTGATATTTATTATCTTAATGATATTTAAACATGACTGGTTTAATTACTACTTCCAAGAGTACTAATATTTGGTATTACAGCACTAGAAAGTTTCACTGTCTGTATCACTCCACCTGTCTTGTGTTTACTGCATTCGGATCAGAGTATATAAGTGGAAGTAAGTTGTGTGATTTTGTCTGAGTTATGAGCAGTGTAGTTGCATTATAACAACAAAACTAAAATGCTTATATTTGGTACATCTCGAGAATAGGTATTAGCCACTGCTAATAAAGAGCTCTTTACTAGGTCATGTTTTTACTTTGCAAAAATAATTTAAAAACTATTAGACTAATAGAATACTCTATTATCACAATCTAGTGCACCAGCACAATTGTCAATGTGATATTTGACCCTGGACCACAAAACCAGTCTTAAAGGGGTCATATGATGCGATTTCAAGTTTTCCTTTCTCTTTGGAGTATTACAAACTGTTCGCGAATAGATAAGATCCCTAAAGTTGCAAAGACTAAAGTTTCAAACCCAAAGAGATATTCTTTATAAAAGTTAAGACTGGTCCACGCCCCCCTAAAACGCCACGTTTAAACACGCCCCCACATGTCTACATCACGAAGATTTGCATAACACCGCTCAAATTCAAACGCGAGTTTTGAGCAGTATAGAGTAGCGCTTGTTGTTTATCATTTCTCCGATCACAAACGCAGACATGGTTTTAGGCTTATGCAGCGCGATGCAACGCAACGTAAAAAGACAGTATAAGTCATTATAATCAGTAATTATGTCCCCACTGGATGCAACAAATGCCTCGTTTATAATGGGTTTTAATGTTTTTGTCTCGTCGCTCCGGCCGGGACACGGCATCACAATATGGTAAGGGACGTAAAACATTTCCCTCTCACGCTTGAGGTATTTGGCAAATCACAACGCACTGGATAGCTGGCCAATCACAATGGGTCAAAATTATTGTTTTTTCTTTTATGCCAAAAATCATTAGGATATTAAGTAAAAATCATGTTCCGTGAAGATATTTTGTAAATGTCAAATATATTTCGTAAATATATCAAAACTTCATTTTTGATTCATTGCTAAGAACATTTGGACAACTTTAAGGACGATTTTCTCAATATTTAGATTTTTTTGCACCCTCCAGATTCCGAACCATACATCAATGGAAAGCTTATTTATTCAACTTTCAGGTGATGGATAAATCTCAATTTAAAAAAATTGACCCATATGACTGGTTTCGTGCTCCAGGGTCATATATTGTTTTTAAATGACCGTTTTATAAACAAGTATTTAAAGGGGTCACATGATGTTGCTACAAAGAACATTATTTTGTGTATTTGGTGTAATGAAATGTGTTTATGCGGTTTAAGGTTAAAAAAACACATTATTTTCCACATACTGTACATTATTGTTTCTCCTCTATGCCCCGCCTTTCTGAAACGCGTCAATTTTTACAAAGCTCATCGGTCTGAAAAGCGAGGTGTGCTGTGATTGGCCAGCTATCCAGTGCGTTGTGATTGACCGAATTCCTCAAGTGTGTGACGGAAATGTTACGCCCCTTACCATACTGTGATGCCTGCGGCAACCACATGTGACGACCCCGGGCTGGACTCCGCTTCGTCCACGGTGAAAACCAATCCGGCGATCGACAGCGCGAAATTGTAGTATTTCCTCAGCAACCAGCACGGATCAGCTCCAGGCATGACGAAGCGATATCATCCTCTTTTGGAAGGCCAAACAAAGTAGTTTCGCTTTCACAACGACACACACAGCGCCTTCACGACATGTCAGCGGCAACAATACTACAGCGAGAATAAAAGTTATGCCTTCTTTCTTTGCGTGAACATTTGGGCGCCGTTATGCAAATCTTCCCACATAGTGATGTAGATATGTGGGGGTGTGTTAGAACGAGCCGTTTTAGGAGGGCGTGATTGACTCTTAACTTTTATAAAGAATATCTCTTTGGATTTGAGACTTTAGTCTTTGCAACTTTACAGATCTTCTTTATGCACCAAGAGCTTGTAACACTCCAAAGAGAAAGGAAAACTGAAATCGCATCACATGACTCCTTTAAAGAAATAGTTCACCCAAAAATGAAAGTTCTGTCATCAGTTACTCATCCTCATGTCATTCCAAACCTGTAAGACTTTCTTCTGTGGAACACTAAATAAAGCAATAAGCCCCAAGAAGCCGTGGTTTACAGTGAATTTATAACAGCTAAGGGGCGTTGTTAGGTACGACGTGAAGCGGAGGCTTACTGCTTTTATAAAACGGTTATTCCATACACATAGTAAGGTTTCACAAAATAAAACAGAGCAAATAAAGTGTAATGATATTAATAAAAACAGTATTCATCCGCCAAACAATGTAGTTCCTCAGAATCAGGTTGCAACAAAGTGGTTGCCAAGCAACACACAAACGTAAACAAAGGTGTGTGTGTGTTTGTAGAGTCATTCACAACGGTTTCGAACGTGACTCAGCCAATCAGAATCAAGGACCAGAACTATCCGTTCTATAAACAGATATTTTGAAGAATGTTTCAACTGCTGTCCCTACAATGAAAGTCAATGGGGTCCAGAACACTATTGCTAATCTTTTGTGTCCCAATGAAGACCGAGCGAACAACAAGAGGAGTAAATGATGACAGAATATTCATTTCTGAGTGAACTATCATTTTTTTAATGTCGAATAATTTCTTGAAGTCCTTTATTTTGTTTATCTTTGCCTTTCAAGTAAAACTAGCTTTAAAATAAGCCCAAGCTTCGAAACAATAGACAAGCAGAGTGAGACGTCCCAGGCCCAATGCTGTTATATGAAATGTAAGAATTCTATGCCAGAAACTAACCTTTTATGGTTACACAACGTTTTGCTCGGTTTTCAGGCTAAACATACCTCACACACACCGCCATGATCTCCCTCGATTCAGTCAGTCTTTGAATCGCAGTGAGCCTCAGACTGTGGTTAGTGTATATCGTTCTCGTGCCGGCCTCTTTGCATATTTTGGGCAGCATTTGGGACAGATAATTGACTCCCATTGGAAGTGGCGTATACCACATCTCATCGGCGATCACATATGTCCTTTTGGGCTGCAGATACAGCGCTTTTGCGTCGGCGGGGATTTTGCTCAGATATTTCTCCAGAGATGCGACTGGGCACAGCGGATTGCCGGGCTCTTCATACATAGCCCTGCGGGTTTTCTTGTCCTTTTCCGGCATGTTTTTCGTGTCCTCGTGTAATGTCATCGTGAAGTATTTGAATCCGTTTTGGTCTCGGTTCAGAGCAAACGCGTCTGGCTGCAGGTGTCGGTTGCCCTCCTTACCCCTGAGTCCGAAATGTAACTGGATATCGTACCAGACCTTATTTAGCAAGCCTTTCGGGTTGCCAGGGTCCAGTGCAGGGGAGTGCTTCAGTAGGTGCTGGTCCTCAGGTGAAATCGGGGGGTAATGTGCTGTTATATTTCTACCGGAGCGTCGGATCTGCTTAACGACGCCTTTGAACACATTATTGGCGGCCCTAAACTCTGTGTCCTGCATCAGATTCCACACCCGGTTGAGCGGAGGTTCATTGATGAACCGATTCAATCCAGCTCGAAGCCCGACGTAGCTGCTGATGCCGTACAACTCTCCTTTGCTCGTCCGAATAGAGCCATAAAACTCGCGAAGCACCGGGTTTAGCTCCGACTTCTCCACGGTTTTAAAGTCGATCGTCAGCTGCTTTTCGCGTAACCAGGCTTTAAAACAGTTCACAGCCCATACAGTTTGCTTTACAGTACTAGATTCGTTCCGGTTGTGCTCCAGTTCGTCTAAATCCGCTGATGATACATTCGCACATCTGGCTATCTGTGCTGTTAAACTGGACTCTCCTCCCTCAGTCTCTTCCTCTTCACCTGAAGAGCTTTCGCACTTTAGGTCAAACATTGTATTCATGGGAACAAAATCCGTTGGTTAAACTGCTTTCTTCTTCTTTCTTCCTTTCTGTGTCATGTAGGCTCATACTACATGACATATGTGCTAAGCTAAAATGAACAATTATTTGAAGCGACTTGCTGACCTGTATGTTTACAGGATTTCTTTGTTCTTCTTCTTCTTTGAGATACTAGACTATGATGGAGCGCCACAGAAATATACCGCCACCTACCGTTTACCACGCAAGCAACATGCGGTCTAAAATGAAACTTCACTGTACGATTGAAATGTCTTCCATTTCATGCAAATGCCCTTTTTTTTTAGCTAACACAGCATTGGTACTTTATCACTGATATGCTATCATACTCATGCAAAAACAAATAAAGATTCATAGAAAAGCTGTTTAGCCATGGCTTCAGTGCTAGTGCTGGGTCGCTTCTGAATTTCCTATACGCGTTTTTAAACGGTGCTGTTTTGATCTGCTGCAATGAGAAAGATTTGTAATGCTTTTTTAAAGTTTACAGAAACAAGTGTCCATGGATTAAAAGAAATAACTCAAATAATGATCAAATTCAATTAAGCTTCAAAATGATAGAAATATTAAAAAGTAAAAATGTATATAATAATTTATTAGTAATATATTTATTGCTAATCATTTATAGCTTGGCATATCTAGAAAATGTATTTTACATAAACCCACTGTATTTAAAAAATATATAAAAAATGTCCATGGCATTTCTTTTCCAAAGAAGAAATGTTCAAATGTGAATTACAATAAGACATTGTTTTGTTTTAGCTTTTTTCAATGCTTGTTTTGCATTATTTTAAAACATTCTTAAATATGTAATATGTATGTCCCCTTGGAAGAAACCACTGACATGCCTCAAGCTAAAAGCTTTATTAATGTTCACTCAGTTTATATTATTTTTTGTTATTATTTATTTATTTGTCCATTGCTTTTTAGTATCGAATTTTCAATAGTCTTCCTTTTCTTTTTATGACTTTTCTCAAATAAATATTTTTGAGGGGATCATATTATGCATAAAAAATTAAAAAAACGTACAGCCAACAACCCTAATCGAAAAGACTTCTAACAGAAAGTCTCAGAAAGCCAATATCAACTTAATACTTACAATCATTTTGCTATTTGTGACCCTGGACCACAAAACCAGTCATAAGGGTCAATTTTTCTAAATTGAGATTTATACATCTTCTGAAAGCTGAATAAATAAGCTTTCCATTGATGTATGGTTTGTTGAATATCTGGAATATGAGGGTGCAAAAAAATCTAAATACTGAGAAAATTGCCTTTAAAGTTGTCCAAATTAAGTTCTTAGCAATGCATATTATTAATCAAAAATTAAGTTTTGATATATTTACGGCAGGAAATTTACTAAATATCTTCATGGAACATGATCTTTATTTAATATCCTCATGATTTTGGCATAAAAGAAAAATCGATAATTTTGACCCATACAATGTATTTTTGGCTATTGCTACAAATATACCCCAGCGACTTAAGACTGGATAATTATAACTTTGGTAACTGACTTACAATTAGAAACAAGCTACAGAAAGTTTACAGAACAAAAAAAAAAAACGTATCCATTTAATTAAGTAATAATGAATAAAGAGAAAATGTCACGATAATAATGCTAGTCATCCAGGAACTTTGAACTGCTTTATTTTATTCAGTTAATTACTTTAGGGAAATACAGTTGTATTAATACAGAACATACTACTCCAGATTCCATCTCATGTTTATTCAAACTTTAATAGTCATTTTTCTAATAGTAAGTCCTGCGACTCATTTATACCATGCAACTGACACATGGGCCTACACAGTATAAGTTCTTCATATTAATCTGATAAAATACATTTTTGGGAGGACAGCAGAACTGTACCTGTATGCTTGTGTTACAGATATATTAAAATATACTGTAAGTTACATTAAAATGACTCCATGTTAATAATAGAAATACTTTAGTATTGTGTTAGTTACAACAACATACAGTATATTAACTGGGTGAGTAAAACCGGTTGCTTCAATAATCCAGATATTATAAGTGGACAATTTACCTGCAGAAGTCTCATAAATAGGCAATTGTTTCGCAGACCGTAAATGTTACATTGCAATTTGAGCACTTATGCTTCACGAAGTCATTTCACATAAATATTCAGAATTCACATTGTCATGCACATCTTGAAATGGTAAAACTGTGAGGTTTTAGTGTGGAAAAATACTCAACAGAAAATGTAAATGCTGGCTTTGTATTATTTACGTATGAACTTCTCAACTTCTAATCCTCATAATGTAACAATGTTATCTTATACGCCTGGAAACCACAAGACTCCACTTAAACAAATTCAACTGGCCAATTATGCCTCAAGAATGAGGAATGTCACAGAAACTGGACACAAATGACTTTTGAGTGGTGTTATGCATCTACGAAATACATATTTGCACAGTGTAATAAAACATTCATATTAAACATATTGTACTTGAAGCCTGTGTTACTAATTCTCCACTTTAAACTAAGCTTTATAAAACATATTTATAGATAACAGGACAGAAAATGAGTCGTGCTAGTTTGCCTTGATTGTGACTGTAGTGAAAACCTCCTTGGTCCATGGTAAACACTCGGATTGTGTTTCTTTTAGTGAAGGATGGCCAGCAAGAGGCGCTTGAAATCTCCGCCGCATTCCGAACTGATGGCGTCTTTTAGAGACACATCATATTTCTCCAGGTACATGTCTTTAATGGTCTCCAGATCGATCTATTCAAACAGAAGAGTGTCCATTACAGGCTGATTTATAAGACGGTCTAATCTGACCTCTGTGTAACAACGGAACAGTATTCATCATTCATCACTTTACGCTAAATATCAGTGTCTATGGAGGGACCTGCTACATTTGTATCATGCGAAATATCCCACAATGCAATGCGTTCGACCTTTCATTTCCAATTTGACAACTGAACCGGAAGTACACTACCATTCAAAAGTACAGTATGTGGTCAGTAAGGTTTCATTATCAATATTTTATTTTTTGAAAGATGATTTGCATATTAATCTGATAAAATACATTTTTGGGAGGACAGCAGAACTGTACCTGTATGCTTGTGTTACAGATATATTAAAATATACTGTAAGTTACATTAAAATGACTCCATGTTAATAATAGAAATACTTTAGTATTGTGTTAGTTACAACAACATACAGTATATTAACTGGGTGAGTAAAACCGGTTGCTTCAATAATCCAGATATTATAAGTGGACAATTTACCTGCAGAAGTCTCATAAATAGGCAATTGTTTCGCAGACCGTAAATGTTACATTGCAATTTGAGCACTTATGCTTCACGAAGTCATTTCACATAAATATTCAGAATTCACATTGTCATGCACATCTTGAAATGGTAAAACTGTGAGGTTTTAGTGTGGAAAAATACTCAACAGAAAATGTAAATGCTGGCTTTGTATTATTTACGTATGAACTTCTCAACTTCTAATCCTCATAATGTAACAATGTTATCTTATACGCCTGGAAACCACAAGACTCCACTTAAACAAATTCAACTGGCCAATTATGCCTCAAGAATGAGGAATGTCACAGAAACTGGACACAAATGACTTTTGAGTGGTGTTATGCATCTACGAAATACATATTTGCACAGTGTAATAAAACATTCATATTAAACATATTGTACTTGAAGCCTGTGTTACTAATTCTCCACTTTAAACTAAGCTTTATAAAACATATTTATAGATAACAGGACAGAAAATGAGTCGTGCTAGTTTGCCTTGATTGTGACTGTAGTGAAAACCTCCTTGGTCCATGGTAAACACTCGGATTGTGTTTCTTTTAGTGAAGGATGGCCAGCAAGAGGCGCTTGAAATCTCCGCCGCATTCCGAACTGATGGCGTCTTTTAGAGACACATCATATTTCTCCAGGTACATGTCTTTAATGGTCTCCAGATCGATCTATTCAAACAGAAGAGTGTCCATTACAGGCTGATTTATAAGACGGTCTAATCTGACCTCTGTGTAACAACGGAACAGTATTCATCATTCATCACTTTACGCTAAATATCAGTGTCTATGGAGGGACCTGCTACATTTGTATCATGCGAAATATCCCACAATGCAATGCGTTCGACCTTTCATTTCCAATTTGACAACTGAACCGGAAGTACACTACCATTCAAAAGTACAGTATGTGGTCAGTAAGGTTTCATTATCAATATTTTATTTTTTGAAAGATGATTTGAATAGATAAGTGGTATTATACCTCTGAGCGACACACAATGTTGCGGATGAGAGTGTCTTCGTCAGTTCCGGCACCTTTCATAGCGGCATTCAGCTTCCGGGCAAAGTATAGCTGAGGGTTCTTAGCACACCTCACTATGGGTTAGATGGGAAGTGTTAACCAGTGAGCACCATAGCATTACTATACAAATAATCAAAACTGGGACCTCTAATATTAGACACTCCAAGGCATTTTGGCTTTGTTCACAATGCACCCAATCTGTGTTTGTATACAGTAATGACTTGAAGGAATAGTTCACCCAAAAATGAAAATATGCTGAAAAATTGGGCCATTCAAGACGTAGACGAGTTTGACTCTTCATCAACAGATTAAAGGAATTTAGCATTGCGTCACTTGCTCACCAATGGATCCTGTGCAGTGAATGGGTGCCGTCAGAATGAGAGTCCAATAAAACAAAAGTATATCCACATAACTTCAATCCATCAATTAATGTCTTGAGAAGTGAAAAGCTGTGTGTTTATAACCAACAAATCCATCAAGATGCTTTACTGGCTAAAATATGAGTCCTCTATCCATAATATTACGTTATCCAGTGAAAAGGTTGTCTTGTCTGAATCAGGAAGAAAATACAGTACGCACAGATCAAGCACTGTTTACGAGCGAAAACCGTCCAAAACATTTCTAAACAAATATGTTGTTGGATGGACTATTTCACTGTAGGAAGCATTGATATTGATGATGGACTGGTATTTTTTACCTGAAGCGACGGTTTTAAGTTAAAATGCTTTAATGATGTATTTGTTTCTTACAAACATGCAGCTTTTCACTGGAATGGAGTGGTGTGGATTACTTGTGGATTATTGTGATGTTTTTATCAGCTGTTTGGACTCTCATTCTGACGGCACCCATTCACTGCCGAGGAACCATTGGTGAACAAATCTGTACTAATGAAAAACAAAATTCATCTACATCTTGGATGGCCTAAGGGTGAACTAGTCTCAACGAAAATGGGTGAATCCAGAGACACTAGAAGGTCTAGAGACCACCGCACCATCATAGTTTTTACTTTACTTTTACTTAGATGTCATGTAATTTCTTTGTTGTTCATACTACAAAAAATAAAAGTTCTGTCATGACAACTCTCGGAGGGATTGGCATGGTAATGTACATGACAATGTTAATGTATTTGGTCTTGGCGGAATAGATCTGCTACGCTGCCGCTGCCGCTGCGGCAGAGCAAGTACCAACTTGCTACTGCCAATACATCCACAACATGCTGCTGTGAGCATGTAAGAAATATTGCTGCTGCTGCAAATATAACATACATGAAACACCTCGTAGCAGAACTATACAGGTGGAGCTGGGGAAGGTGGAGGGTTTCTGAAGCAAGCTGCAACTGCTACAGCAAGCAGTAGTCATGTATTTGAATGTTGAGCAGCGAGCTCATTGGCTACCGATACAGGAGAGAACCAATCAGCTGTGCCATGTGATAATGATGTCATTAGGTCAGATTGAGTTAGACCTATCAGACTGCGCCATCTAGAGTTTCATGCCAGAACTCTGTATTTGCATATGCAAAAAAAGAAAAAAGAAATCTGCATTTGCGGTTTTTTTTGGACAAAGCCTGTGTTTAATACAAACCGAGTGCAGTGTAGCAGTCCTTCAGAGTTCCAGAGATTTCCTTATCGATTGCATCCAAAATCTCTGTTCCAGAAATCTGTTGGAGAACAAGGTGAAATACAATCTAAAACTAATCCAGAGCGGTTACACATGAACTAACACAACATATTATACATATAGTACATAAGTTACTGTCTTAAGCTCTAAGAACAGAACAAACTTACGGCTTCATAAGCTTTGAATGTGACCTGCAGTTGTAAGTAGTTCCTGGTGGCCAGAATGAAGCTGAAAGTTGACTCATCTGTGCCAAAGCAGTCCTCTCCAGCCTGACAGAAAATTAAAACATCTATTAATAAACTGGAATTGAACTGGATATGTGACTAAATATTAATATCATTATTTTGGCATAAAATTTTCCAGGGTGATCTCGACAATTCATAGGTATTTGTACATTCTAGCACACATATTTGTTTATTTAGAAAGACCAGGGTTTCTCAAACTAAAGATTAACTGACATCAGAGAACCATGGACATGCAAATTAGTTGTTATTGTTAAATTCCTGAAATATTAATAATAACATTAATATTATACACTACTGTTCAAAACATTGAGGTCAGTAAGATAATATTTCATATATGCTATATATATAATTAAACTTTTTTTCCATTATGAGTGCATTAAACGGATCAAAAGTGACAGAACAAACATTAAAGTTACAAGATTTCTATTTAAAATAAATGCTATTTCTTAACCTTTCATTAAAAAAATGAAACTAATGTTCAAAAATCAATCAATTATGACCGTTTCAGCAAAAATATGAAGCAGCACAACATTTTGACTTTGATAATAACGTTTCTTTTGAGTAGCAAATCAACATATTAGATTTATTTCTGATGCAACATGTGACACTGAAGACAGGAGTAATGTCTGCTAAATTAAGCATTTCCAGCACGGAAACAAATAACATTTTAAAACATATAAAATGTAGTTTTGATCAAATAAATGCAACCTTAGTGAGCATAACAGACTTCTTTCAAAAGCATCAACCAATATTATTGTGCCAAGTTAGACAGACATAATTAAAATAATCATTCCAGACATGTTTCCAGATGTGTGCTAAAACCAAGGTACACGTATGAATATTTAAATGACACTGTGTTGAATGTCTCCTACTTCAAACAGTGAGACGGCATCTTGCTCTGCCAGTGCTTCATCCACCTCGTAGCTCTCGTCTCTGTTGCCCTACAAGAGAGAAAGTATTGACGCCCTTGAAATCCAATCGGAGTCACGTCACTCAATCCTGTTTCTACTTATCTAATGAAAGGGGATCTGAAGCACTGCCAAGCTCCAGTGCTCTATATAGGGACAGCAGGAAGAGGGAGGGGTACTAAACACAGGCTGACACAGAGCGCTTTATGTCGCTCAGGACTGCGGAGTGGTCATTTTGTAAGACCTAAGCAACCATTTTGATTTAGAATGAAGCGGATTTACCTCGAGAAGCAATGTTAGCAGTCTCCTAACATCCCCACTGGTGTCTGCTTCAATGTCTGCCTCCAAATCCCTGTCATGCACTGTAGACAACAACATACAGGGGATGCTTACCAAACATAGTTTGATAAAGCAATAGATAAACTGTTCAAACTGTGGAAAAACATATTGAGATCACGTAACTGTAATTGTGACTGAAGATTAGGGAACCGATGTTGCTATGTGGTTGCTAAGGTGTTCTGAGTGGTTACGAGGTGGTTGCTTACTGGACTAGAAGAGCCCACCTCCAGATCTCAACTATGGACTGTGATAACGCATATTCACAGTTATTAACATTGTATACACAGTTATTAACAAATTTGACATCCTTCTCTCTTCTGACCAGTGTGATCAGTCTCTTGAAAAAAAATTTCTGCCTTTTGTAAAGTCATATAAATGCTATCATGATTTATTTTTCTATTGGAGCCAAAGAGAACTTAAAAATATGTATTGTAATTCCTGTTAACCTCTATAAAATTTACACAACTATGATGATTTTCACTTCTGAGAGCCCCAGAAATGTGAAAAGTGTCTGTATTCTGGTCCCCAGATAAGCCTAATAGATTTTTATTCTCCCATTATTTTGTCTTATGACTCTTTACCAAATTATATGAACCATACTGAATCTAATATATGGTCAAATCTTGATATGAACATTTTATTGTCCTGAAGCATGACGTATAGCACGGTATCGGTATCGGGCCCGATACGGTGCTCCTCTACTCGTACTCGTAAAAACGGGTGGCTGGTCTCAGACGATCTTGGAGGTGAAAATGCTGGATGGGGAGGTTCTGGGCTGGTGTGGTTACACGTGGTCTGCGGTTGTGTGGCCAGTTGGATGTACTGCCAAATTCTCTGAAACGTCTTTAGAGAAGGCTTATGGTAGATAAATGAACATTCAATTCATGGGCAACAGCTCTGGTGGACATTCCTGCAGTCAGTATGCCAATTGCACGCTCCCTCAAAACTTGCAACATCTGGGGCATTGTGCTGCACATTTTAGAGTGGCCTTTTATTGTGGCCAGCCAAAGGCACACCTGTGCAATAATCATGCTGTCTAATCAGCATCTTGATATGCCACACCTGTGAGGTGGATGGATTATCTCTGCAAAGGAGAAGTGCTCACTAACACAGATTTAGACAGATTTGTGAACAATATTTGAGAGAAATAGGCCTTTTGTGTTTATAGAAAAAGTCTTAGACCTTTGAGTTCAGCTCATGAAAAATGGGGGCAAAAACAAAAGTGTTGCGTTTATAATTTTGTTCAGTATAAAACAAACTAAAATTATAGGGGCATTCAGTATAAACAGCATTTATTTTAAACATCAAGCATACCCAACTTTATTTAAAGCAGAAGTGAAACTAGCAGACTGGGTGAAATGTGCTAGGCTGTAAGTGTCTCTCTCATTCTGCACCAATACAAACGTGTGCGCGCTGCGTATGTTTAGCTTGCTTTAAGGCCAAAGTATACATCAGTTTTTACTCGTACCCAAAGGTCCATGTACACTGCGCGTGACGCAAATTACATCACCAAAATAGTACGCGTGCACTCGTATAATGTATAATGAGTGGTTCCCTGCATTATTTTAGGAAAAAGTTTTGTGAATATAGTATTGAGCTGCTGCAATGGAGCAGCTCTAATGCGCCATTAAAATGAACAGTGAATGTAACAAAAGCGTATACAACACATTATAACAGGTATAATTAAGTGTGGAAATAACTAAAGGTAATATCTGTTTGCTAAATGAAGCCAACTAACATGATTCATATTATTATTATTATTTTGTTTCTGTACCCAATATTTAAAAAAAACATTACAAATGCTGTGAAAATACAGGTATCGGTATCGGCGAGTACCAAAAATGAAAGTAACGGTATCGGACTCGTTCTGAAAAAAGTGGTATCGGTGCATCCCTAATAGCAAGTGTAGGAAAAGACACGAAGTCTCATGGCATTCAGATGAAGAAAATAAATGAATAAATAAATACCTACATAAATACACACATACATACAGTACATAAAAAGCCCACACCCCAACAGCCTACAAACTAATTAACTACTTGAAAATACAAAAATTAAATAAGTGAATTATTAATGCTAATAATTATTATTAAATAATGCATTAAATACCTTTAATTAGTTCTAGATATAATTTAAAAAAGTCAAATACTTGTAAACATAGCTTTAAAAAGGACACACGAAAAGAGATGTTCTGCATTTAAACTACAACATTTCATGCACAGATCTATTTTGACATAGTTTTGTCATGTTCGTTGCTACGGTTATCACTGTTAATCATAGCAATTTCAGGAGTGACTCACGGAACAATCCAGCGAATTGTGTAATTATATGAGTTTGTCACTCCTGAAACTCAGCAGTATACGTGGACGTAGGTCCTCTTAGCAGTATAACAAACTAAACTTTTCTTCAAATTGTGAATGGATTAAAGAAAATGAGCAAAGAGTGCTCCCTTTATAGCACGACTGACTGAGCTCACTCATGTGAAAACTTTTAATCAATCAATCTAATTTCGAATAGCTTATTTATATAGAGTCTACACTTTTATTGTTTAAATGTAAAACATTTTTTAAATAAAATATAATAAATAGGGTTGGGTATCGTTTGAATTTTATCGATTCCGATTCCGATTCTGCTTATCGATTCCTAGTTTCGATTCCAATAAGATAAAAAAATCCAATATAAAAAAATGAAGTCAAACATTTAGATGTCAAACATTTATTCTGTCTTTTTACAAAGCATTCTTTTGCAGCTGAGTAACACGGAGCAAAAATCAGCATCCTACAGAACACTGCAAGAGGAATTTTGCCTATGCTTAAAAAAAAATACCACAGCAAAAACAACTAGATTAATATACATTTCAAATATTAAAGTGTTAAAGACAAGTAAACAGTCAGTAATAAGATAGGAACAAACAAATCAATTAGCAATATAATAAATAAATACACCTGAACAAAATTCCAGGTACAGAAACTGTAATTAAAAGTTTAAAAACACTGCATAGTTCTCTTTTCATAAATAAAATATAGATGAATCGATTAAAGTTATTAAATATATTCAGTCAAGATCAGTGAATGATTTTCTTTTGTTCTTTGATTAACATTAATGACAGGCAGCGCGTTTATTAGGCTGCTGTCTCTTTAACACGCAGATCTAAAAATACTGTACATGTGTGTTTTCTTTCTCATCTGTTTACGTTCACGTAAGACAAAAACGGCTGTGTTTATGATGATATACTGACGTAGTTTTCTGCATATTGGTCGACAAATATGAAAGAAGTCAGTTCCGGCCCGGAACAACCTTTTCTACAGTGGAAATACAAAGAACGGTTCGAGAACGGACACAAACCGGGAACCAGTACCGCGACCTCTGTTCTCTGTGCTCACGCTTCGTGTGCTCTGCACGCAAACAGGGCGCAAGTTCTTTCCTTTCCTGCACTTAAATCATTTTTAATCACATTAAAATGCGAACGCAGGAATCGTTAAACAGAATCAAAATGCACGCGTCTTATCGAATACCCAGTTCTTGGACATTTGGAACCGGTTCTAAAATGGAACCGGTTTTCGATACCCAACCCTAATAATAAATAAAAATTATATCCCAGATATATTTGCTTAGTAAAGTGAATATTATTTTATTTTATATTATATTTAGTAACACAATACGTTGTAGGCATTTTGCATTTCGTGCATAAATTCAAATGGACAAAATAAAGTGTTACTAAGGACCATTTTTGAGCCAGTAGTTGAGACAACCTAAAAACTTAAATGCATCATGTTGAATTTTTCAGTTTGGCAGTGTTGATTGGTTAAGTCATTCTTACCATGGGTGTAGGTTTCTTTGTAAGTGGCAATCTCCTGTTAGAAAACAAAAAGAAGTAAATTACTTCATTACATCAATTTGCCCCAGCTTTGGGAATGGTGACAAACACAGGAACTCGCAGAGCCTTTTCATTCAAAACAAACTGACATACAGCATTGGTAGAAGTGCACAGAATCTCCACCAGGATATCCTCGTCTGTGCCAGCGCCCTTCATGGCCTTCCTGAGCTCTTTAACTGCAAACACGTGAGGAGGATCCAACATGGCAATAATGGCATTCTCAAAACTACCAGTCAGCTCACTCTTCAAAACCTCCACCAGTTCCTTCAGAGAAAACACAAATCTGTGAAGGCATGCTCTTTATTCTTAAAAACTATTTCAGTGATGTTTTCAGAATACTCACATCATCATATTTGTCAAAGTATGCTTGCTTGATCTCCAGTCTCTGAGCTGCACTTCGATTGGCTAGGATGTCTATGATGGCTTGCTCATCAGTTCCTTGAAAATTAAATAGAAAGACCACAAACGTATCCTCTAGTGATGAAAATATTCAGTAAATAGCAGACTAACTATAACTGCATGTAGAACTGTAATTGTACGGTATACTCATTTAATAAACATACTGAATGCTAATTAAAATGTAAGACTGATTTAAGCATCTCACCTAAACCTTTGCAGGCTTTGCGAATGGCCTTTATGTCAGCAACAACATCAAAGTCTTCATAAGGAACAACGGTTGGCTGTCAAATAAAACCAAGGAGAATCATTTCCAATGTTCATTATGTTTGATCCTGTTCACAATCAATTATGTAATACTTAATAATTAAGTAATACAAGCCCAGATCACTAAATTCATGTTTTAGCATACAACAGTTGTGAGTTTGACCTTGCCTTAACACTAACAGTCATTATGATTAGTTGAGGTAACTCTATTAAATATTGACCATAATATCGAACTTAATATAACAAATATTTCAACTACTCTTGCTGTAGCAAATATTTAAATGTCACTGTTTATTATTACTGAAACATTCCAGAAATAATTTCTTGCCGCTGTGTTATGATTAGTTGAAATGAGTTAAATCCTATTTATTAAAATGTATTGATATGTTAAGCAGAGAAGTTTCATCTAGATACTTCCATAAAATAGGCCTAATTGTTTTTGGGTTTTTTACATATTTTAAAATTAAGGATTTAAAAGTCCTTATATATACATATCATTTTATTAATTTTTTTCTTACTGTTGCAACGGTCCCAAAACATACCCATGGTAAAATATTTTATGGCAACACCCAGGGGCCCATTGTTTAAAAGTAATTTGATCGGATTTTGGTCATCGGATTGTATCAAATCTTGAAAATGGGTTGTTCAAAAAAAAAAAAAAAAGTTTATTTTGTTGTGTTTCTCAGTTTGTGTTGTTCAAAACATTTTAGTATTGTCACACTTAGCCTATGGCATGGAGCGAGGAATGAGGAGAACAGGAGTACACGAACAACAATAGTCTTTTAATTCAGAATATCCAGGAAGTAACACTTGGCAGCTGGGAACACAGGAAACACAGGGGTTGCCATTCAATCTCGGACAAGGACAGACAGCACAGACTTGAACTTAAACGCAAGGGATAATTAATAAACACAGGTGTACTGAATGACTAATTAACTGGGAAGCGGAACACATGGGGAAGAAACTGGGTCACAAAGCACAACAAACAGTACAGGGGCAAGTATAATTGGGATACTTTTGATTTAAAAAAAGGGGATTATTCTGATCCCAGCAGAAGAGTGGATTACAGTAACAAAAATGTAATAAAACTTTAAAACTGGTCCAAAAATACAACACTTGTAACATGTAATACATCCCTAAATCCCCAAACAGCTGTCAATATCAAACAAAGATATTATATTTAATTTAAAGTTTTTAAATCACTGATTGTAAACTACATTGGCACAATTGTCAGAGATGGACCGGTCAGAAGTAGTTATTTGTGTAAATGCAATGCAAAACTAGAATGTAAAACATTGGGATTTTTTTTCTCCCCATCACCATGTCCCTATAGGTCATGGCACTAGTAATCCAGATTTAAAAATCTGAAAAAGTGTGTATCTGGATCAGGGTGATCCAATCCAATTTTGCTTTGAAAAAACGGCACAAAAGTACGATATTTTACCTGATCCTGTATAGCAAAACATGGGATTTCTAAATCCAGATCATTTTGATCCAGATTCAACTTTTTGAACAACTGGCCCCAGTAGTTTATGTTAACTTGATATAAAGATATACATTAAAATACTACTCCAACTATGACTAATACTTCCAGTAGGCCTACTACTAAATAAAACACTTAAAGGGGTCATATGATGCTGCTAAAAAGAACATTATTTTGTGTATTTGGTGTAATGAAATGTATTTATGTGGTTTAAAGTAAAAAAAACACATTATTTTGTATTCCCTCAGCGACCAGCACGGATCAGCTCTAGGCATGACGAAGCGGATATCGTCCTCTTTTGGAAGACCAAACAAAGTAGTTTCGCTTTCACAATGAAAAACACTGCGGCCTAGCGTGAGCTGAGGCCTAGAGTGAGCAGAGGCAGCGGGGTCAAGAACGGCGCGCTCTGCGGTTTCGACGAAGGAGCGGCAACCACATGTTACGACCCCGGGCTTCGTCCACGGTGAAAGCTAATCCGGGGATCCACAGCACTAAGTTGGTGTATTCCCTCAGCGACCAGCACGGATCAGCTCTAGGCATGACGAAGCGGATATCGTCCTCTTTTGGAAGACCAAACAAAGTAGTTTCACTTTCACAACGAAGCACACAGTGTCTCCACGGCATGGCAGCAGCGGGAACAATACTACAGCGAGAATAAAAGTTACGCCTTCTTTCTTTGCGAGAACATTTGGGCGGCGTTATGCAAATCTTCCCACATAGTGAGGTAGACATGTGGGGGCGTGTTAGAACGAGCCATTTTAGATAGGCGTGGCTAACTCTTAACTTTTATAAAGAATATCTCTTTGAATTTGAGACTCTAGTCTTTGCAACTTTACAGATCTTCTTTATGCACCAAGAGCTTGTAACACTAATAAGAGAAAGGAAAAATTGAAGTCGCATCATATGACCCCTTTAAAGGTTTGTATTTATTTAATTTTTTTGAAGGCGAAATCTGTACTGAGCATCACTCTTTTTGAGAATAAAGAGGTTTATTGTCATACTAGAGCACCCAGTCTCCCCCATATGAACAAAAGCCCGGCTCAGGAATGCTCAGAGGAAGCGCCCTGTCCCGTCTGTAATCCTAGATGGAGGCCCCTGCACGGGCCAAAATGAAACGGAGTTCGTCTCAGTCTCCTCCCAAAGCGCTTCCTCTGACTCATTCGGTTAACGGGATTCTGATACTTCCCTTCCCTTTACAATATCATATATAATCAAAATCGCTATAATATCTATTCGAAAAGTGAAAAAACTAAAAGATTTTCAACATTCAGCAGTAAAAGAAATCAGAAAAGAAACACGAGACGCGTATAACGGCATCGCATTCAGAGTCCACGCGATATAAGAGCTGCGTTTGCCAAAAGCATCTTGGCAGCGGAAAGCGCAGCCCAGATCAGTGAGGTATCTTAACTCTCTTTATTCTTTTCCCTCTATATTCATTGTTATTTCCTTTTTTTATACCGATTTGAATTGATCGCTTATGCGACGTGTCCCAGACCAAACTCAACGCAGATTGTTGAAGTAGCTACATATCTTTCTCAGACGTTGACGAAGCACGTATGTAAGGTGCGCTGTAGCAGATACAAATGTAACGAAATACTCACTTGGCAGTTTCCCATGGTGAGAGTTTCTGATGATCTGACCGCTGTCCGAAGAACTGCAGGCCACACGCGCAAGAGTTTCTGTAAGTGACGTCAGCACGCAGGGAAATAACGGGCTGGCTTTTAAACGTACCCAGGAGACGCTTTGGGCATCTGCGTTTCTATACGTTATTATACATTACGTCTACATATATTATAGGCTAACTATTAATTCTGCAATGTTAACGTGTTTTTTTTTAAGCAGTAAGAAAATTGTTTGAAAAAGCATCTCAAAACAACAACATTGACCACAAGACTTAAAACCACATATATGAGTTAAAGTTAGAAAGTCACTATATTCAATTTGCGAATATCACAACAACCGTTTAGGGGACGCACACGAATATTTTACCTTTAATGTATTTAGCACCTATAAAAAGAGAAATGGCGCCCCCTACGGAACAACCATAATCTGGATGAGCAATAAACGTGTATATTCTAATACAGATTACAGACTCAAGTGTTTTGTTTTTGAATCTAGTCAGCAACATTTCAATTCCTTTCAGAGTGATGACTTTTAACATCAGACACTTGCATTACTTGTGTATTTATGTTTTATTGTATTTAGACCAACTTAAATGAATGCTTATGTAAAATGTAGAACAGGATTAATAACCACGCTGACAAGAAGAGCGATATTAATCTCTCTTGGATCAATTTTGATTCTACACAACTTGATAAAACACTCAAAGCTTTTAATCTGAATTCGGTTTGCATCACATTTGTTTTGAAGATAAACAAATAAAATATACATTATTTTTTGTTGAATGATTAAGTTTAATATACTAACAGTTATTATCATTATTTAAACAATTATTTATTATAATTATAAAGCTCTTGAAAAAGTATTTAACTCATTTAAAAAATACTATAAAGACTGTTATTTGCAGTCTTTATAGTATTTTAGTTATTTAAACATTTATTTAGTTGTATTTTAGTTATTTAAACATTTGCAGTATAATTCAATATAGTATCATATGCAATATAATAGAGGTTACAAATAGGATTGTATCATCGATGTTTGAACTCAATAATAAAATCAAGTGTGAAAGGGCCTTGTTGCCAAAAATATAACTTTTGGGTTTTTTGTTATTAAAAATAAATAAGCAAGCCCATATGACAGAAAGTAGCACAAAAGTAATGTAATGCATTACTTAAAAAAATAAATAAATTGAAAGTAAAATTTCAAAATAAAAAGTAATTTTGTAATACATTACTTTTTAAAAGTAACTTTCCCCAACACTGTGCACTGGTGCTACTTTTCGACATCTGCGGCTGATGGCAGAAGCAGACAAAGTACACAACTACAAATATTACTCCATTACAAGTGAAAGTTGTAAAGACAGATTTTTACTTCAGTAAAAGTACAGAAGTACTTGCATTTAAAAGTACTTACAGTTTTTCTCAGTCGCTTTGGTGCATTTCTCAGATCAGAAATGAAATTCTCAAAACTACTTGTTCAACCTCCACATCATCTAGTCAATTGTGCACATCATAAAAGCAGTTTCTAATTATTTTGAACAAGTTGCAATTGCTTTGGTACATTCATGCAATTGCTTATGGACATTTGTCTGCGGTTTCCTGCATTATCAGTTGCTGTCATGTTGCTCAAAATGTACTATATAGTTCTCTGTGCAACAGTCTTACCCCCAAAACATCTAGTCATTAGTTCATCGTATAAGTCATTAAATGCAAAATGGTTGATCTAGTTGTCATAAACTTTCAAGCATTTCCTACACATTTCTATTAGACTTTTTGTAAATTTGCCATGAATTGTCCAGGTGAATCTTGACTTTCACTAATAAAGAAAATAAGGACCAGCTAATGATAAATCAGTTCTCTGAAATTGCTCAAAGGTGCATCTCATGAACCTTTCCTTGGAAAGCATACATAGAGAGAGAGAACAACACAAGAGTTACAAATTCTGACAATGGATATTTCCTCCCCGTTGGCCTGGTAAATCAACAGTAGCTCCCTGGCCGATGCCATTTCAACCACGCCTTCTGCTTTTGGTCAGGTTGAAGCCAGCCTCATCCACATATATGACATTGTGAGATGGTTCACTTGACTCCAATTCCACGTTGCATTACAAGGGAAGATATTCGTTATGATATAGATGAGAATCTGTAGGCCGACAGACTGGCACGTCAGGAGGTGTAGACAGACTGCAGTGCGATTCCTCAAACAGTGCTGCACGCAAAAGCAAAGTTCTTCCTAAGGGGTGTTTCCTGTGTTTGCCTTTCTATGTTTTTTTTGCCTTTGTGCCCATATTTCTTTTCTATATCACAATGGCGTAATGTTTTTTTTTTCAGACCACTAGTAAAGTGTAACTCTGAATCCTGTCCAGTCTTTTTCAATCAATATCCCACATACAGTAATGTGTAAACGTGTACTTTTGAAATGTATATACGGCATACATAAGAAGTGCAGCCTTCTGCATTTCAATACAGTAACTGTCATCCAAACTGTTGCCATAGTTTACATCAGGTAATACTAACAGAGTGCAGTGTTATATTGACAACATGACTAAGCATTTTGACTATCTTGTTTGTGAACAATGACAGAAGGACTTTTCATTCTGATGGCATTGACATAAATCCTTACTTTTGAGAGATGAACAAAAGATTTTGAGTAAGTTACAGGCTTTTGCAGTTAATCCATTGTGTGGTGCTGTTTGTACGAATTGTTTTGAGAAATGCACATACTTCTTTGCAAATATTAAGGATGATTCGAGAAATGCACCAAAGCGACTGAGAAAAACTGTAAGTACAGTGAGATTGCTGTAAACAGCAAGATTTATTTGACATCATCGCTCTCACGGTACGTTAATGTCATACACAGAAAGGTCTGTGCAGTGCTGCTTCAGTCAAACACCTATTGTGTTTTGTTAGGAGACACACAACAGTTGTTCTGTGGCTTTATAATATTTTCGTTTACACAATTTTGCAAAATCAATACAATGTTGTGTCTAAAACATACCGCAATAGTAACATTATTATTGAATTGTTATAAATAAATATCACATTTGCAACTGGCCAGTGTTCAGAAAATGCTGGGAAATCACTTCACGTAACCCTAGAAGAGTGATTACCGATAGGCTGTCAAAAAAAATCCCATTTTAGAGAATCAAAAAATCGCCCACTGACTTTCAAAGCTGCTACATAGTAACGATTCTCTACTTCAAAGACCTTGAGAGAAATGTAGTGGAGTGAAAAGTACGATATTTGTCTTTCAAATGTAGTGAAGTTAAAGTCATAAGTTTCCAGAAAAAATAATACTCAAGTAAAGTACAGATACTCAAAAAGTGTACTTAAGTACAATACTCAAGTAAATGTACTTCATTACTGTCCACCTCTGGCTAATGATGAGATGGTAAGCTAATAACATTTAGAGTCTTGCGTTTTTGGTTTCATTCACATATAGCAGTACTTTGGCTGTTTTATTAATTTGTAATGGTTAATGTTGTCTCAACCTCAAACGTCACGCCCATGGACCATTGGATGAATGTCTGATGCATATATGGTACACTTTACTGGAAACACTTCAGGAGTTTTGAAGTCGTCATCTGATTGGTTGAATTCTACAGAATTTCCGAGAGACGTGTCGCGTTCTTTACCGTTCCGCCTGGAAACAAAGATGCCGTGGTGCCAAATGACCGAGAGCTCAGTACTGGCAGTTGCAAAAATTCTTCATTGCAAATAGATGGATCCCGCGAGACCTGGTTGCAAGCTCCCCTGACTTGCATGATGTGGCTGGTGTCTTGGGTTGAACAGTTGCATGTCCAACTGGGCATACAGGTCTTTGTGGTAGCCACTGCCCTTTTTACTTCCAATTTAGTGATCAGTATCATTCCAAGTTGCATGTGCTCCACTAGGTGTCGAGTGCCAGCTTCTTGTCCTTAATCGCCTGTTGCTCTTCTTTGTTACACCGCCATGTTTGCTTGACAATAAATATTCGTCCTGCATTTGTTCCTCCCACAGTTTCTGCTACCCAAAGTATCTGCTCCACAGCTTTGTACCACATAATCTCCACCGTTTGATCACGATTCACCACCAAGTCGGCCAGAGTAGCTGTCAGTGTGTTCGTGTGCATGTTCAATTTCCCACGCTTAATCTTTTTGGGCCGGTTGTTGGCATCTTTGTCGATTGCAGGAGGTCCATTGGAATGTCTAGTGATGCTATCAAATTGGGTCACTTTGATGTTGGTCACCAACAGGTCTCACCTCTGGACCATCCAGTAGTCAATGTGAATCTCGTGGCTACCACTGCTGTAGGTGACCAGCTGTGTTGGTCTTTTCTTGAAATACATATTAGTCACGGCTAGGTTGTGGGCTTTACCAAAGTCCAGGATATGGCATCTGTTGTCATTTCGCATGCTAAGTCTGTGACCTCCACAGCACTGTGCATATCCTTGCTTTTCTGATACAATGTGCCCATTCATTTAATCCTAAATTTGTAGTGAGTTTTTCCTTGCCACTGATGCCTTTGGCTTGCTTACTAAGGCACTTTAAAACTGCCTTGAGGTTCTTGTCACTGTCAGCATCCATAAGGCTGTCTTGATCACCACTTCTGAAATATCTGTCAAGGCCAATGCCCCTGAGGTCCATGTCGCGGTCTTGGTGTCTCAGATCCTTTCCGTGACCTGCATCCAAATATGCCTACCACACTACAAGGGGCGTTTCCTCCGAGGCAAGAGAAGCAGTGTCTCCTCAAAACATTGGATGAGAAAAAATAAAATAAAATCATAGTACAAAAATAAAACAATGCCAATATTAGAAAATATAATATTAAAAAGGTTTTCTAAAGAAACTTTGTCCAACAGCGACACCAGCAGGTAAAGTTACAGCGGGAGTCCATGTCATGTCTCGCCTCCCCTGAGACCGTTTAGTTTTAACAGACCCCATAAATCGTGCGTGAGTTTGGAGGGGGGTGAATGGGGGGAAGTCACGTGAGATGAGGCATTGCCTCCATCGCGATATGATTGGATATGACTGGTTACATTCGGCTGTGACTGGTTCATCAAGATTCTTAAAATGGACTTTATGTATTAA